AGTAAAACAGTCAGTACTTCAAATATGATGATAGGGAATTACCGTTTGCTCCGCAGTATTCCTGCAATCCTCTTAGATTCACAGCGCCCACAGTTAACATCCAATAATTCCTTGCTATACTCGAAGTGTATGGGGAGACGTAGTGCTATGTGACATAGTGTAAGTGGACGAGTGCGCCATCCAACGGTATTTTAAATACTATTAGCGTCGGTGCGGTGAACACCGATTCTGGGAGAGCATTTTATGAGTGACAGGCACGAAGAAGAGAAAATACCAATTGCTCTATATGTCAAGCTCTACAGCAGACTTAAATCCTAGCTTGCTGAAATAAACAGACTTGGGCGTGCATTTTACCCTAGCCTTGTTATGAGCGATGAAAAAGCAGATTAAAAAACGTCACTACTCACAGCATATTTATGTATATCATTTTACGTTTGCACCGTTCGCGGTTTAAAGAAGTAGTAAGCACTAAATCGAACTGGGTCCCGTTTATTTCCAAATGATATCTGACGGTGAATTCGCTTTACGTACAAGAAGTTTCCAACAATTCGCATCCCAAAGCTGAGGTCCACTTTCGAAACTGACATAGCTTAATGCAATTCACGAAGTGACACTGACGTTTATCAGCACTTTATGTTACCCAAGCGTTCTAAGAGTTTAGCAAACGCTAAGATATATTACGAGTGCCAAATCACTTAATCTCCGAATGTAACGAAGGACAATTTAGTCATATTTTTACCGTGACACGTCCCAATCTTTCAATTTCTATACCAGTTTGCCTACTGGGGAAAACCGGTTGTAATAATAATGTTATTTTCTTTTACCGCTAGGACCCTGCACTTTAAAGGTGAATAATTAATTCGCTGGTGTAATGAGTACAGCGGACAATATGTTCCAACAGTTCAAAAAAATCTGGGTACAAGATATAAAAAACTGGTCTTCAAGGGTTACAAGAAAATAGCTAGATAACACATTAGCCATTTGTCGTTTGCTGAGATCTATAACCATGCTAACGCAAGCTATAACTTGAACGGCCAACGTCTTTGCAATTTTACGCATGCCGTGCTGTTCAATATACCCCAATTTTTGCTTGATAATAGGTAATGGGGGCTAGTCTACCTAGGTAGTTTGACACAATTGATTTGGCGAAGAAGACACAAGCAACATGCCAATAAACACAGAGAAATTCTGCGCAATACTGCGCAAACAGTAAACGATAGTCGAAGCAGTTCAGGTGCCATTATATGATCAAGTCCGGCACCAGATTAAAATGTAGTCAAATCAACTGCTTAACAATAAGAATACTCTTTCCATCCTGATGCTGGTTCCATCTATGAGTCCTGGATCAAAAGAAATTACTTTTCGAAAGCAAACTGAAGCAAAAGGACGACGCATGATGAGTCAAGTTGCCGCTTTGGAATATTAGTAATGCTTAAATCATATCAATTTATGTTCTACCAAAGTCGTCAGTAACCGCGTATTCCACGAAAAGCTTTGACAACAATTTGAAAAACTGGCGAGCATTCATTTAGTGAACATTTTTGTTCGTTATGTCTAGATGACCAAACATGAGAGCGAAGATTTCTTTAACTATGCTTTTAGACAATTTCATTGCGGGAATTTCAAGCTATCCCTTATGAAAAGATTCACTTTATGCGCCTAATTTAATTTGAGTTCTTTATTCAAACGCACACAATGTAAGTGTTTCTTGAAATTACAAAATAAATAAGTCATGAGTGATAGTCTCTGCTGAGTTTCAAGTGCGGAACAATCTAGCTGGCGTGCCATATATCCACATGTCCTTTCAGTCACCAAATTTTGCCCTGAAATGTATCATGGGACAGCAGTTCCTGTCGCTCAGAACCCCGCGTTGGCTGGCTGACATTTTGTCGATTAACGTTTCTTAATTTTCTGTCCATATACACAGCGCTGATGCTCATGGTGCAACCGTTGGCCCCGAAAAGCATATCCTTCTGGAAAATAGGAAACGTGCAGGACACATAATCAGACAACAACCTAGTAATGAATAACGTTGGACTTAACCCTAATCCGGTAACTTATATGTTGCAAGTTATCCTAAATGTATGCATTACCGTAAGCATGTGCCTGCAGGAATATAATAAATAATAATAATGTGTCAGCTGTACGCCGTAACAGTGCTTCGCTGCCGCGCGAGCACCACCAGTCGCGCGCGGGTCGAGGATGCTGCGAGGACGCCCAATCCTACGAGGATTCGAACCGGTGACCTTATGGTTGCAAACCAAACGTGAAGGACAGTATAATGGCAGTCATCCGGCGTCCAATTTAAGGATCATGTCCGAAAGTACCTGGAAGAAATTGCGCTCATAGTTTTAACGCTTGACTAATTATAAGGGTTATTCTATTGGGCAGAATAGTAAATTATATATTTGTTCAACTGGTTACAGTACACTAATATGAATGGCCATAATCCACAGTTGATCTTTTTGGATCTAAGAAAAGTAAACAATTTTTACACAAAAAATATAACGCTAGAGCACAATAGTGGTGAATCTACAAGTGTTATGTTCTGTACAACATTACTTGTAGCAGCAGTCAGCAGAAGCATTATTAGGACTAATGAATGGCCACGTCATGTAATCAAGTGAAGTGGTTATCGAAAATAGTACCGTATAAGCGCCTATTAACTACCAACCGGCATAATTTGATATAAATTTTAATATATTCATCCAAGCAGCTCAAAAGCTACATAGCATTTTCCCAATCCGTAAAAGCACCAGACGCGCACTTCACCCTATTGTGGCTCGTCAGGAAGAAGCATTTCACCGGTCCCTAACTAATGATCGATCGCATGACCGCTGGACGCTGACTCAACTTGCCAGCTGCATAAGCCAATTAGCCATGGAGGACGAAAGCTTGGCTACATAATTTGCAAGCTATGTAGTATATAGTATGGTCTATTTTCCACTGTCACGCATGTTTGCACTCTTTCAGATGACAGTGGTTAGCCACCAATTCATAATAATGATTCTAGGCTCACTAGTTTCAAAATTTTATATATTCATCTGGGAGTAAGTCATGATCTATTCCCGATTGTGGTTAAGCAACGTAACTTGTGAGATACTAGAACGACTATATTAAAAAATGAACTAAAATGCTTCTACTCGTAAGCAAACTATAATACATTTTACATGACAAGTAAAACTACCATAGCATTTATTTGCCTAGCATCTATTTACCTATCCAACACACCTCCAGGGAGCAACACTTAAATTTGTCGTTGCCAATCTCCCTAAAATTTGGTTTTTGCACTATCTGCTGCAAAGTTCCCTATTTTGTTAAGAATTTCCACGAATTATTTGCCTGAAATATTTTAAAATCAATGAAGCCATTTAATTCAACCTATTCTGTGAAAAGTTACTCCAGGCACCGCACATATTACATGGTATGCTACCTTTATCCAACTTAAAACATTTGCCTAGAAATGTTTTAAATAAAATGTCCTCGTCATTCGCAAAAGAATCTCACGATTTGTTCTAGCCGCATACGATTCTTGCTCAATTTTCTGGGACTGTTTAGTCGAACCACATCCTTTTGCTCCTTTCCTATGCTATTTCTAAACTTGTAAATTTCCTATTTATATTGATGCTGTCATTTTTGTTTGTCGCCGATAGTGCCTGACCGATGCAAATATATAGCGGAAGGATGAAACAAATCGATAAAAGATCTACGCGTTGGAAAGCATTCATTCTAGTGGAAAAACTTTATTTGACTAGGAAATGCTCCAGCACAGGTTGTCTTGCCATTCGTCACATACGTGTGCTTTCATTTGTGGTGGTCCATAAATATCTAACAAAATGCAGTTGTTTCTCCGCTTACTTGTACTTAATGATTAGTGCACCCAATTAACATTGTTAACAAGGAGTCGCGAAATTCTTCTCGAGCACGCGCGCTCTGTAAGTTTAGAGGGTTAGTTGCACCAACGTAGAAAATAATATTAGTGTAAATGAAATTGGCTTACTGCTCACAACCAGTATTTCAATAAGCTGTAGAAATAGTTACGCCACAGACATTTTTTATTTCTGACAGTGCCATCCAGCATTACCTTTTGGACAATTTAGTAGCGCAACACCTGTACATAAACCAGTAACTCAAAGATCTTGTCTTAGGTGGTGTATTTATTTTGATAACATTATCTGCGGCTTATTATACGTAGTTTACAACTAAACAGATTATACGCACGCAAAATGCTGCATTGTTTCCGATCAGAATATATGATAATGCTTCTTTATGAGGGGTCATTAAACAAGTTTATTTATTGTGCGTCCAAATAGCATATTCACCCTAAAACAGGCGCTGAAACGTATTCGATGTTCATTAAAGTCTGCACTTAGCTACATGTAGAAAAGACCGTTGGATAAAAGATAATAAGATTTGCTTCTCGTTTTTTATGACAAGATACCACCAAGCTTAGTGTATAAAAACGATATTTAGGCCGATGGATAAATGAAAAACTGTCCTGGGATATATAAAGCGTGGCGTATCCATTCAGTTAGATCTTGAACGCCAATAAATGTTTAGAGTAACCAACTTAAATTGCTTTGCATCTGCAGTTAACATATGTTTCAGGCATATTTGAGCACAATCTTTAATACTCGCTTATCATTAAGTGACTGCTTAAGATAATAAACATAGGTAACACTTTACGCTTTGCAGTATCGAATGCAGTTAAGCTTTAACATACTTTCAAATTGCCAAATAAGTGGTATGTTTTTACCTCTATCCATGGCATGGTCATTCAAGGCTGCTCTGGTTAGGCAAGCGGACAGACACCAATCATAATTTCCCTGTTGCTTCATAGCTAATGCACGGACTAATGCGATTGTGTGCTCAACTGAAGGCGACAACAACCTGCTCACGAGCGCACGTAAACATTTGTACATATAGGGTTTTGCTTTTGCTAATGCACAATACTGTTTTGGTTGCGATAAGCGGCTGCTGCTCGGTTCATATCAACATCCTTTTATTTAAAAGGATTAAAATTAATAATTCTACCCATTAATATGGATGCATCAAGACCTATTACACATGAATCAGAAAACTATTTGAGTCAGTTTAAAGAAAAGCAATCCAGGAAAATAAAACAATTCACTGCAGCACAATTTGTGGAAGTATGGAATCATTACGATCAGGACGGTGAGACAAGGTTTTGTTTCTGATGTGTTTCTGCTTGTAAAATTATTCTGTGCATTTTGAAGGGATGTTTTTTGAATAGCTGGGTTAATTACATGAGGTATTTGGGATCTTCTTCTATCTGTGAACCTATGCTCACTTATCTAACAAGTTCTCATCAAAGCGGCAGGCTATAATTATGTCTTGAGAAACTCAGTGTAACCAATTACTGGGTATACGTTGCTATATCATCCGTTTTGCGCACCTTATCGGTGGAATTAATATATTCCCAATCACTGTTAATTACATTTCGTAGTTAATAAACGCATTGATTCAAGTAACTTGCATTATCTATATTTACTGCAGCAGGAGCTTTATGCCCCAATTTAGAAAAACCATCTATGAAATTTGTCATCAGCCTGTTCAATGGCGCAGTTTTATTTCAGACATTAGAGAACACCCAAATTTCAACCCGTTAAAATAATTTAAACGCTGTATTGTGGTACCGCAAATGTGCTTCCACGAATTACACCCAATGAATATAACTCAAAATCTCTCCAGTGTTCACATTACTGAGCGACGAATTATATAAAGACTTAAGTAATTACATCGGATTATCATATACATCAGTATACTTTCCTTTACATGCATTCATAAACCTGTGAAAAATGAGAAGGAATTAGGTTTAAACAAGATCCTTGGCAACTAAAATGAAAACATGTATTAAAATTGTCATTTACATTTGTTGACCGAACATACACTCACTAATATTTATGAGAGATGTATGAGACGCGCTTTTAATGTAATGTGATGAAGCCTTTTATTTGCCCAAAAAAAGAAGAAAATATAAACATAACAAACAGTAAGAGACAAACAAAACTAAATCATTTGTACCAACATTACATGCAAACATATAAGTGACATGCGTGCTGATTGCTTGGAAGGTTTATTACCATATTCATGATCCTTACGTAAGGGCACATGCAATTAATTGCTAGAGAGGCTTTCTATTGCTTGCAGCTTTTTAACAGTTTCGATATATTTTAAGCCTAAGGAAAACGTTGAATGCACACAAATACTTCTAAAAATACCTTACGACGTCATATATATTTATATTATGGTATTTTCAAGCATAATTTCCTACAGCAGATTTAAAATTACAGTTAATTATTAGAAGCTCTGTGTGAATAGCGCTATGATAGAAACTAGTTCAAAGAACAAGTAATTTTGAAAACCAGCTCTGATAACTGTGACTTCTAAGCTTCCGTTTAATACTAGATACTGGCAATTCCTGAGTGTGAAACACAGTTTATGTTCGGTAGCTTGAACATAACTTATTAGAAACATCTTAATCCTCCGGCGAAACCAATGTAGACTACTCCAACTTCCCCAGAAACTAATTAATAAAAATCATATGCTTATGTATTTGAAGGAGATAAGGCTAGCATAAGAATGGGATTAATTAGTAGATCAACAATTGTAATGAACTTACAGCCGACAAAGTGAAGTGGGCTGATTCGAAATAAGTTAACCATCTGTTTTGTTTTGATTTCGGTCGGCCGCCTCTCATGTTCTTCGTTGTTATCTAAAAAATAATTATTCTTCTTATAATAAATTTTTAAGCATTTCCTGTGCTAAAGTTTTATTCCATTGTGGAGCATTTTTTGTTACATTGATCATGATTATCATAACAAAATTTCACAATACGGATCTCCGAGATTTACTGTTCTTTGCAAAGTCACACCTCGCAGGTAATTTTGCGGGCTTTGTCCCGTTTTAGAGCACTTAACGCAGATGTGCTTGGGCTGAAATGTGGTCTAGAAAAGCGTGATTTTAATAATGGCTTTCTGAGCAGCTGGCATACTCGCAATTGTTTCAAAAGATCACAAGGAGTCTAATGCATGCTGAATAAATGCCATTTTTTAGTTTCCACACATGTTTTCATTTGTAACGGTGAGTTTGTGAGAAATGTATGTTTTTAAGCAACAGAGGAGGAAAAAGTTATTAAAAACGAGATATTTTGCTTATAAGTAATTGTACGGAGTTTAAGCTTTGACCAGAGAATACGCTAGTAGCAGCTCCCGTACAAAATTTATATTGAAACATAGAACATTTGTTTAATAGTGCATACTTTAAGTAATTATTCAGTGTTTATCCGCTGACCTCAATATGTAATTCCAATGGTTAACTGCAGAGCACGCCGATATATACTTGTTGTTTCATCTAGCTCAGATATCGCTTCTGAGTTGGTGGTAAAAATCTCGTAAATCCTCCGATTCGGGAAGATGCATGTAACACTTATGATTCGTCCTGAGGTATTTTTGATACATGGATATATGCTTATTTTTTCCAGGTAACTGAAATCTGAGAAGATATATAGGGACGTGTTTAGTCTAGCTAAGCAGGATGCTGGTGTCCTTCTATTAAGAGCCAGTGTCTAAAACTAATGCGGTGTGAGTGAACTCAGGTAGCTGACTTTAATGGTGCCGCATATTTAACTGTCATATTTTCTGAAGCTGCAGTCATTACGATCTCTCTTTTGAGGCACTTTATCCTTTTACAACCAACCTTCACAATAAGCGAGGTATAAGTTGCTGAAACCATTAACTTTGATTAAACATAGTAGTGCAGGCGATCATCAATCCGCACAAGGATGACAAACTCATTGCGAAAGTTGAGGTTACACGTTTATTTGTGGTGATTTACATGACGTTTACAGTTCTAGTATGTAAGTCAGTAGTTCTAGTATGCATCAGCAAATGTGAGGAATGAGCTGCGATCTATAAAGGTTAGCAGTTACATGATGAAACACCCCCCAATCCACAGAATAGATAGTGTTACAAGAAAACCCTAAATTGGAGACACATTTCAGCCTAAAAAATAATTTTTCAAAAAAAGTGATAAATGAATAAAATGCTATACTTAAGGCTTCTTAGAGCTGATCAACGCCATGTGAAAATGATCGAAATCCAGGGACAAATAATTGACATCCTGCAGCGGGTATTCTGGTGGTGTGATCTGCCTGTCTGCACGCAGATGTTTAACAAGTAGTTGCAGCGTCATATGGAATATGCAAACCAGGTCTGGAAACCTTGGCATAAGAATCATCTCGTAGCGCGATAAAGCAAATCTAAGAAGCAGTTATCTTGTCACATTAACTTAAGCCAGAATTCATAACATTGTACAGTGGTCCTTAGCGGCACCTACTTGGCGGTCGTTTTCCAAACGAATAGAGTTTAAGGAAATCTAACCATTTGAGTTGCCACCTACGGCAATCTGAAAGTTCTAGTAAATAAGGGATCTCTAGTATTAAAGGCGACTAAATGTAGCAATGTCACTCTTCCCTGTTTATCTTCTTTAGCTATTTATAAAAGCCTCCTGGACGTTTCTTTAATCCACAAACATTACAAAATGCATATTGGGTAGATCGAGATGGAAAACAACGTGTAAACAGTGCACCAGCCAAAATTAACTTGCACAGTCGAAACCTGTCCCTTTACGCAATGCGCGTCCCCCAAAGTGCTAATCATATTTTTCTCTTTACGAGTTATATCTTTTCGATTGTAGTCAAATAACGTTACATATAAAACATCGTTTTTCTACCTTTGCCACGCTTGTTTCATTGTTATTTTTCGGATCATGGTTAGGACTAAATGGGATGGAACTGTTACACAAACACATGATACGAGCGATTCTGAGTTAGGTACCCACCATAGCTTGTTGCTTATCTTTGCGACCCAAAAATTTTGTTTGGGGAAATAACCACAATGATGTTCGAGGTAAGATAAGTCACTGATCGTCAACAATGCATCAGCTAGCGTCCCTACCTCCATGTCATTCACAATCCTTTAGCGCAAACATAGATGAGATGGTCTTCTTAGATCTATTACGTCTCCATCTGGTGGGCCAACTTTTGCGACGTAATAGAAAACAACACAGACGGTAGCATTGTACCATCCGTCCTCAGTACTTTAAATATGTCACTAAATTAGTGTATGCGGCAAAGATTAGCAGGTGCTTTTACAGCTTTTGCTATATATCACGCGTTGTATTTCATTCAATGTCCGATGTTGTGCTGACTAGATAATACTATTTTGAAGGGCGTGTGCTTAATTTTTGCCAAAATAGTGCATACTTTTCGGTTGCCTGTATCAAATCAAAAGTGAGAAAATATAAATGGAATAACCTGACCAAAGTATGATTGAATATAACTATATTTATGTCCATCCCAATTAAGCTGTTTATAAGCGGTTGCAAATTAGACAACTCTGCCAGTGAGCTCAAAGTAAAGCTCAAACAACTTGAAGCAACTTCACATTTAAGGAGCAGCCGCCGAATTATATCAAATTCTGATCAAAAGTAATATTGAAGATTATAGGGGACTAAAGTCATCAGGTCTAAGACGGCTGTAGATCTTAAGGCTGGCGTTAGATTACCATATCCTTTATCTCAGAAATATTCAGACAGGTCGTTCAGGTGTGTTCCTCAATTCTAGGACGAAAGAAGTAAGTATTTTCGGAATTTGTTTTGATCAAAATAAAGAAACGATAAATACCGTACACTAACCGTTATTCTAGTGCATATATATGGGTGTAGTGCTCCAGCCTGTTAGGTCAGAGTCCTGTTTCATACAGGCACTACTAATTGGCGCAAATCGTTCACCAGGGCATATTCGCATGTCTTGGTTCCTTATTAGATACATACAGTTAATTATCCGGTTGACTTCTGCTCTGAAGAGTATTCATAGATTGAAACACTTAATAATTATATTCCATTCTCTATGTATACTGATAGTTATGACCCATTAGACTGCATTTGGGAGTTGTCTGTACAAGGAAGTAACGCTCTCCATGCGCTGCTTCCTACAATCAGGCACAGCTTCTCTAACGCTACATCGCTTATAATCCGTAAAGACTTCGAACAAGCATCTACATATTTTCACAACGTAAATCGGCATCTCAACTTCTGATATGTAATAAGACAAACAAAGATCGCTTTTGGTATTCAAGCTGAAAAGAGTGCTCTTTCAGCCGGTGTGTTTCGACCAGCATCCATAAATATCACAAAATTTGTAGCTACCCTTTGCCTAAGATAATAGTCAAATGTATTTCGAAATGCATTATTTAATTAGCTAACAGCTTGCAAAAGAATGATAAGCCACTAGCAGCTGTTTTGGGTAGACCACATTCCAACCCGGATTCAAGTGCCTTTAATAGTGAGTTTGAAATTCTGTTTACTTCCCTAGATGAATTACTGTTAGTAAACACTTCGTTGTGGGTGCCAACTAGATGGCACTTAGAGATCAGCACACTCTGGTGCATGGTTTCGATTGGAGCTTTTTCTAACTCGAGTCATCCGTTAGTATGATCTTCCCTCTTCTTCAAATCAAATGAACATTGGGTTAGATTTTCGTGATAAACCTAACCGTTTTCATTTAGTATGTATTAAAATGTGGGCCCCTAAGTTGCAGCTTATGGTTGTTCATACAACCAACATTGCTCTATCCACAGTTATCCATAAGCGACGTAAATGAATCAGACTGCGATTAATGCTAAACTTTACTCAGTCAGCGATCCAATTCGAGGGAATCATTAGCAAAATGTCACTGATCATCTCACTTTGAATTCAATTATTCGGGCTTACCAGATAGGCAGGCGGTAGCGTACCATCTAGGTAAATAAGATCGATAGCAACTGCCAGCAAATAAGACTAGTAATAAATAAACTTCTCAGAAAGACCATAATTCTCCATAGTACTTCAAGTAATTACAAACTTTGTACAAGCACGATATTATATTCAATCGATTTCGAGGATGGTAGTTAACGGTTTGCACATCCAAAAAACTTCCAAGATATTCCGTCCAATAATAATCGAGGTTTTTTATTTTTTATTCTAAACATTATATCCCAACTGTCTGAGGCCTGCAGTTATTATTCCAACACTTAGTGGAACATTTAACATGATAATAGGCATAATATCCAGTTTAAATGCTGTTTCCCATTTTAAGCTGGTAATGCACCACTTCAAAGTAAAACAATTTACGTTTATCCTATGTTTGCCAATGTAATCGCGTACGGTTAGATGTGCTACCGCAAGTGAAAGCAAATTTTACCACATCTACTGTACTGTCCTCATTTCTGCGAATTTAGCTGCCTATACAAATACGTTTCCAGTGGAGAAATTAAGTCTTGTTAGCGAAAGCACCACACATAAATTATGGCAGTTTTAGGTTACCCATCGATTGTGGATGGGAAATACCTATTGTCATGGTAATCCACTTGAAATCAACGGTATTTGGTTCAGTTTCTAGGTAATTATCTTAGAACAATAGGTAACGTTATCATCCGCATTCAAGGATACTATTAGCAATATGTTGTTCAGTGAACTTTTATTTTGTACATCCGCGTTACAATGAAATTATTATGACCTTCGGCATAGTGACCTATTACTTTGGGCTAATTTTCGTAGAGATAGATCGGGCAAGCCATAGTTGATCGCCGTCTGTCCGTCTTATATGCAACCTTCTACTACGCAACGTTTACATGGTATAGTTATTAAAATCATTTTGACATTTTCTCCAACTTTTAATACATAATCGTTAAGTTAACCTGTTCTCAGCAAATATTAGAGCTTAATAAGACTTATTTATGTGAACTTAAATAAAGTGTAACCAAATGAAATAGCTTTTACTTGATATGTTACCTTTAAAACCTTGCTGACGCTTGCTGCTTTCCTCTTGATTCAATAACATCTGCATCGCATGCGTAATGCAACATAACAAGAATGCATTTAGTGTGTAAGGTAATGGTTTAATATGTTCTATTACCTAATACTTATGTTGCATTCCTACTCAAACAGCGCAGTACTATAGATGCATCTTAACTGTTGACAATAAATGCTTAACTTCCTCCGTGAGTGCTTTTTACCTCAAGAAATCCAGTTATCAAACTTGCAATAACCAGCCAGGAAAAAAACGAATTCACGATTTCTTTTTCCATACACAGGCCCCATGCGGCAGCTGGTAAGTCGTGGGGCTAATTGCTGTCCTCCGCACTGTTCGTACCTTGCATCGCGGTAGTAGTCAACGGTCAATCATCAGGTCCAGCCATGGCTTAGTGGCACTAACTGCTCTTATCCGGAGGTACTGGGTGCGGAACCAGCTAGCGGCCCGATAAAAGACACACCACTGAGGAGACCAAGCAGTTCGGAACTGTATCATGTGGTATTTTTCCAGACTTGCCAAAGCCCGCCAACATAGCGAACTGAGATGAAGCATCTCAGAATTTTGAAACTTACTGGTTCTCTCTTTTCTAACTGCTGGTTTTATGAAGTCAATTCGTAAATAGATGTTTTCAACTAACGCGTTACCTACACAGCAATCTTACTTTCCAATTACAGGGAATGGCTATATTGAGGGGAGGGAATTGGACAAATTTCTTCGCGAATTCGTGTCAACTGTGTTTGCCGATGAAATCGGAGACGAGGTAAGTATTGTTATTAATTTCAATAAAGAAATAACTGATGTGTAAGTAGATTTTAGCCTAAATCCGGATACCCATTGTTACTATATAATAAGGATATTAGTCATTATTGACGAATTAGCAAATTACAAGAACTAGGCATGTAGCACTACCGAACGTATAAGGGTAACATGTGCAATCTTTCTACGGAAAGCTTCTGAATATTCAAATTATATATGGCTAAGTGAAACTGCTTAACTTGTGCGAATTATACCAGCTGTTGAGCAGGAATAACAATGCAACATTTAAACATAACGACAAATAATTTATGTGAATTACCAAGTAAACAGCGTGACAAGCGTTGAATTATTGTGTGCCTAGTAGGTTAGCATTTATGCTGTTGACGTTGAGCATTATTTCTTCCAGGTTACTTACCAGGTGATTGTAAATATACGTCTTCAGTAGCTGCCAAGCATTATAAAACGGAGATAATCAAACGATGAATTACATAGCAAAGAGAGTTTGTTGTCACAAACGGATATTCAGTCTCGTTCTACGTTTTTGACAAATATGATACAGAAGGAATTTTACTTGCTAACTAGCATTAGTCAAAGAATTTGTAATAGAGTTGCTTTGTTAGGATATTTATGTTTCCTAATAAAATATTTGTTGTTAAGTTGATTCAGAAAACCCACAATATCAATATTTGAGGGAAAAGATACCAGTCGTCAATGGCATTTTATTCCATTTTACTTTCTTTACGCTGAACATTTTTGACGTTAAAATGAACACACTGACATAATTTTGGCTAATTTGCAATCAGATTCATGATTGTACAGACATTCGTTTTTGTAAATTTACAGCGAAACGCGTGAGTACTTGGAGTTAGCTATTAAGAATCTATTGACGAAGGGTATTCAGCTTGAATTAGAGCAAGCTTACTGCTTAAATTTGCAACATTCTTCTACGTATTTCCAAATGATGTACAAAGAAGAACCCTTTGTAACTTTAGTTAGCGAATTATCTGCTTAAAGTATGCAGTAGAAAGGTTTACTGCATGATGTTGTACACATTGTAAATCATGTGCCGCTCATGTATTGAGGGAATTCATAGTTATTTCATCAATCTGCCGAATGTTGTGGCGTTGCATACTGAATAACTGCCAGTTTATTGCGTAGGTTCCTTAGGGCAATGACAAGGTAATTTTTTCCGTGTGATGGTTATTCCACCTTCGTCAATATGGAGCTTTTGATAAATAGGATTTCTACCTTCGCATATTACGCCTCAGAAAATAACTCAGGAGGAGTTAGAATTGATGAAAAAGGAGTTCATGAATACTTTTGATGAGAACTCGGACAACCGGATAGAACTCATGGAGGTAAGTGATACTGAATAAAGTTACATTTTTGTTAAGCTTGATTAAATAAGGATCTTGAATATATCGCTTTTAGTGAACATCGGCTAAACTGGACAATGAAAAAATAAATTATCGTCCGTTAGTAACAAAGCACTCAGCTCATTACGGTTCGGTTTAGGAATTCATTTTTATGGCTATCAGTTTAATACTTACAACGCAGAAACATGGAAATTGCACTTTTGTTATTTTTCATCACAATGCGCTTTTGTGGCATTACAACTGGGTGGGAGATGCTGATGTTGCGAATTAAAAAGATAGTTTTTTACTAGAGAGTTTACAGGCTTATTGAGTGTCATAATGTTGTGCAATAAAATCAACGTTCTTAGTTTATTAAATATATGGGTATAGACCAATTGACTGACTTTTGATTAAAATACTATTAAATAAAATAAATTGCTGGATGCTAAATTTTAGCCAATGTGTCAGCTGCATGCCGTAACGGCGCTTCGCTGGCGCGACACCCCCAGTCGCGCGCAGACTGAAGATACCGCATAAAACGAAGGCCGATACGGGTTGAATTAACAATCTCTAGTACTTCTAGATATCTGCGTGTCATAGCAACGCCTGGCGGCTTACAAACAGCGTAGATCTGATGATGGATGATGATTAGAACATCACACATTTGTAATGTGGCTTTACCTAAACATCGTCATTAGTTGCGTTCCAATATCAGTCCCTTATAACTGTACAGTTTATGCCAATTTTCACTTACTGGTGGCTGCATAAATGTAAGGCACATCGCATCAGCAGAATGCTACTAGATAAAAGCAACCACAGTATATTTTACGACAAAAGATCTCATGTCCGATAAACGGAGTAATAGTGTATTACAGACAGAGAACTTAAAGTTTAAGGTGTCCCATAAGGTTGTCTGCATGCATAATCCACATTTCATATAAAGTTTCTGAGAACAATTTAACAGGGAAACTGCTCAATAATATATGTACATCAGTTTCTAGGTTTATCATGGAGCTTGAGAGCAAAGTCGTTATTAAAGTTTGGTCGTGACACAATAAAAATTGTTTAAAAGTCATGGATTAATCATTTTAAGAGAGTGGTATATATTGAAAATATGCAAGATATATTTACCTACTGAGATAATAACGTCGGAACGAAAGTTTCCGCATATATATTCTGGCTAGCAGAGATCTTCAGCTGGTGTTATGACTAAGCTTTAGCAAGGGATATTTGACTAAAAGAACGTTTCAGCATCGGATGCGTATTGGGGCTTTTGCAAAGTTTTAACGATATGTACTTTAGTAAACCATTTAGGATCTTGCACTGAAGTGGTTGGACATATGGAATAAAGCATTTATATGTTTGACTAATTTTCGATGTGGATAATAATTTGCAAATTTATCTTGTGTTAGCCCAGGCTACCGGATCTGAAGCGCTTTATTAGCTTAGCATAAAAATAACCCATTTTATGTACGAAGAAAGTTTGGTATCCGATTGCTTAACAATCTAGCGATCATCTTGGGTCACTCTCCGCAGTCGCGCTTCTGTTACCCGGTTTGCAAAATACAGTAGCCAAACCTGTGTATGTGGTTGGCAGGTGGTGATTACCATCCCCCTATCTTTGCGATTAACTTTTATAAAAATATGAGAAAATGGTTTTTTACAAAACGCCTCATCGTCAGAGTAAGCAAGCGAAATAAATAACTTGCATTTAGTGGAAGTAGTTCTAAATTAAAATATGAAGGACGGCAACGTGTTTGGCAAAAGACATAAGTAGCCCAGAAAATATACAAATGTTTCATTACCTTAAGCGTCCTGCATGTTAGGAGACAATCAATTTGCCTAGGTTATTGATGATCATGTTTAAATATGGACGCATTTAATTACTCTATTTGCTATATTTATTATTAGAGTACTTAAACGCAAATACGTATCGTTTCTCATGCCTGAGCATTCCGCAAGATGACATCTAAGGTAGAAGTCAAATTCGTTAGGAGTTTTGCTTAGGATTTAAAATATTTAATATTCACATTCAGATAGACCAGCAGTTAAGCAATGAGATTCCACTTTTACAGCAACCACCGTTTACTATAGCGTAGCGCTGAGTAAATTATGCATTACATTTCACATTTTTAAGTTGTATAAAAGCATCTAGTTATGCTGACTCTCTCAAATAGCATTGTAAAGCAGAGGTTCCACTTCAACCATTACATAAGAACAGTGAGAAGACCTAAGTAGCGATATGTTAACATTTCGATTGTTCTCATCAGTCGCAAACCCAATACAAACGAAAATCATTGACAGTTATAAACAGGGGAAAATTGGCGCAATAAACAAAATGTCAAAATCAAGACCACTGTAATCTATTTCATTGTCGCACTAGTTTATGTGCACAAAACACAGGTTGATAATTCATAATTAGCATAGCCTCAATATTTGCCATAATTATCGAAATGTCGTTGCGTAGTAACAACTTGAATGCAGTCACCAGGTTCATACGATGTCCATTTACCAAGTGATGCATGGTAATAGATGATGCAAGCCTCCTGTTTATCCTTGGATCCACTGCATTTTGTTACGTGACTATTTGTTCCAAACACCTCGGAAAATGTTCAGCTACCCTGAACTAATTGACGGTCATCCTGCCGATGGAAATCTCGCCGCAACTGCAGCTTAACTGTAAACGACGTGAGAGGCCGGACTGATTGATGAGTCGCTCTGACGGTCATGAATATTACCCTGGTCTTGCTTTTGACTTTTGGATTGGTGTGCTAACTGTTCCTTGTATACAACTGTCTAGGTATCCCACCTGTATTCTGTTTGCGACCGATGAGTACAGTCGAATGGTTTATATATCGCAAATTATGTATTCGCAATGCTTTGACTGTAAGATCATCATTGACGCAAAATGAATTTTTTCGTGTATAGTAAAAGGCAGTTCGATGAAATTAACCAACGGGTAATATATCAGTATGAAACATGTTGTTATAATTAAACCTGTAAATTTAAAACACATTCCAAATCTAAGTGAAACTTGAGGACATTCATTTTGCTGCCTTCAGTGAATTCGGTTACCTATTTGGAAGTAGGAATGTTTACTATACCTCAAGCAAAAATGGACGCTAATGATTCCGCGTACTTCCTGAAACTCACCGGTAACGAGAGCTATCGACCTAAGCAAATATTAGAAGACCACTGATAGTAAAATTTAGCTAGAACCATCCTTATCCACGGAGTTCCTGAAATAACGCATGAGATGAATGGTAATTATAAGCCAATATATGTAGCATTGTTGATACACCCGTGAAACAGTATACTTCATTGTTGTACTGTTAAAATAAGTGACACGGCGGCATGCATCATCGCAATACAAAGAAGGTTCTCAAGAGTAATACTGGGAAAATATTGTTAAAATAATTGCATGCACTATAGTTGAAAGGTGACAGTTTTGTTGCAGGCTGTTATCTGAGCTTTAGCTGAAGGCAACAAGCGGCATATCAACCAAAGATCAAGCCTCATCGAAAATATACTGCAATGTGTCACCCACAAAATGTCTGCCATGCCTGTCTAACATGGTCTTGAAGGGGTTGACTAGAATGTTTAACCTGTAGGTGAACGATCATGTTTGGGAATATGTAGGAAGAAGATGAAGCTTTAGCTCGAATAGCCACTACTGAACCATAGTGAAAAAGAGTGATCCACTGCCACACGGTTCAGAAAGATCTCACATCTTAATAGCGAAATTGCCAGATATCTACTGTAATTTCAAAAGAATTGACGCCCAAAGTGACCTAAGCGAACTTAGTTTACTCTGACTGCGTCAGTTCGCAAATGTTTGTTACATTATTTGCGTTCCCATAGACTGGTTGCAGAAAGAGTTGCGGAATATGAGTTCGAGTTAAAATTAACCGCGCTCATCTAGATGGAGGGTGTGGGTATTTTCTGTTGCGTCACATCAAAGTGCGAGCTACGAAGGGGGCTAGTCAATAAAACAATTAGGTCTTTGTTGCCGCATACCAGCAAGACACAAGGACACGTGTATCGTAACTTCCTTTATCTCCCAACTACGTCTACCCGAATAATAGGTTTTGGATTGATGCACATACTGAATAGGATACTACGATTAAGCCAAAACACTATACTAATGTCACAGGATTACAAATGACACCATCGCTATTTATTGGCATTCCACAATAAAGATTTAATTTTAACTCTTGAGTTTTCCGAGAATATAGCTGTTTAAAACTACCATCATCAAATGTTCCGAAACAAAATCCGTCTAAACCGGCTTTTGTGAACATGGCTGACAAATTATCCTTGGAGAAGCTACCTGGTCTCAGCTGACATGCGATCAAAATATTGAGGTCAACGTACATAACAATACTGTGGGTTTCTCCGGAAACTTGTTCCTTGACATCCTACTGCATCAGATAGGATTATATGCTTACTTTTCTAAACAATACTGATGTTATCTGCTAACATAATTTAAAATGCCACTGCCCCATTACAACTGTGCCAAAAGTGGATCGGCGTTTTATTACAAGATATGCCGGAACTCATATTAAATTACATGTAAATAAAAGGCTCATAAGCCTCGTAATTAAATATTTGTTCATGCGCATTAAAGAAAAAGTTCCTGTGACAGAAATTGCGACTTTACTGCAACATGCGCGCTAAGCTAAGTAAAGCAGTAGTAGTTTGTTAAGCGCATAGATTAGAATTCGTTAAATTATGTATCACCTGCAAAGTGAAACAAGAAATCTCTCCACCGTAACTACACAGCAGCAGTAGTATTGCTTTGAATGGATTTTAATGAGGTCCATCTAGCACATTCCAAGTTGATGCAACAAGTATTGCCATTTCGCAATTTTGAAGGAAAGTTTGCAGATCAGTCTTTGCTGCTAAAGATTGTGCGGTTACACTAAGTTTAGGCGAATGTTGGCAGATATGTTGTTTTAATGGTGGAGAGTGTAATATAGTGTGCATGCCTCTTACAGCTTTCGTAATCCAGAAGTGCTCTCCCAACTGTTGAAATGGTTCTGTGAAATAAATCATGAAAGTTTTATAAACCGGTTTCATGCGGCGGTAGAAGTCCATACAGAGAATTTCCTGTAGTATTTTCTTCGGAAAAATCATTTAAATTTACTTTATATTTAAGCGAACATTTGGTCAGCGGGCCTGCTGTGATCCACAGGATAACTGGAATAAGAAATGTAACCCAAATTATCCTAATGATTGTTAACACACCATGAATAAATATTGTGCAAATGTATAAACACAATTGCCATAACCTTAGAACTGTTGTGGTAAACAACGGCATGAAGCAGACATTTTAGTGGATGCTTTAGGAACATTTGCTGGTTTTCTCTACCTACAGGAAGACGGCTATTGCAATCAAAAGTTAACGAAATCAGATTTCTCAATCCACTTTCAAGAATCATGCTTTCGGTTGATCATTAGCAGTTTAGCTGAATAGGAAGCGTATTTAAGTGCATTCGTTATTTTTCCATCGAAAGGAATTCCCAACTACGCAAACACTCCTTACATTTTCAAGCATTGACTTTGTTTTACGCTGTACAAGATCAAGTATTTAAGTTATCTGTTTGAGTACTAATATCTCAAAATATCGCACAGATCTTTCTACTGGAGCTTTGTTTATAAGCTGTTTAAAACGACCTGTCCTTGTTGATATGCTCAAAGTCGGTGGATGTTATGTGAAGTAGTGTTTGTGGTCTTCAAAAATCTGGTAGGATAAATTCCATTTCTATCTGCTAAACCGTGTTTGTTAATGATAACCAAAACGTTTGGGTATAATCACCTGAAAACCAAATATTATTCAGGGATATTATCCAGAGGAAATTGTGCTTCGATAAACCAACCGGCTGCTCTGATTTGAAGAAATCGCCTAGCCCATGTTAGGATTTATTTGATGGATATTTATAACACGTAGATAGATGTATAATGTAATGTAGATGTAAATGTAGATGTAGATGTAATGTAGAGAGATGTATAAAACGTAGAAAGAAAATTTCAATGAGTACTTTTGTTATGATATTTATCTAAAAGCTTCGGAGTCGTTTTTCAATGAATGTTCTCACTGTACGGTTACATTAAGGCAATAACGTATCATGGTGAGAAAACGTTCATATGTTTTGCCAAACATAGGCGGAATTTCTATCTAAAATGCAACTACGTATCCTTTTGCTGCCTTCAAGCATGTCGTCACCTGGTACCTAAGGAGTTATTTTCACAATTGATTCCTTTTAATATATAAAAAACACATAGATACTGCCCATCTCATGCAGAACACAATTCTAAAATGCGTGTCGCCTGTCTTTAGTTACTATGCTTTCGTTTCAATCCATTTTTGATAAACGTATCTGCCTAAGAATGGGATGCGCTCAAATCATATTACTCACGTTTTTGACTCCAACCAAGACTGAACCAATGCTGCAATTACTGATGCATTATACGAGAACATCATTGACTGCATCTATATTTAACACAATAGAAATATCAGAATCAAAAGACAGTTAGGCGAACAAGCTTGTTTTCGGTGGATCGCACTGGTAAAAATCATTTCATGATTTGGTCTAATAACCTTTATCTACTAAGAAACATGGGACTGTGCTTTGTCGTAAATAAATTGTTGTTATTTGCGTATACTTTTCAGTATACTGTGCAAATAATGTAATAGATCTGCAGAGGTTGCGTAGAGTTGTCTAGAAAAATGGCTGTTTAGTGGCTGTACCGAAGATGATAATTTGTACTAAATAGTGCGAGCATAAAGCGTGAAGCCCGACCTACAGTAAGATTAGAGTTGCAGGTTGTGACCATAATCAATTTTCACATTTTAATCGTTCAGACGATTTAACCAAGAATAATTTATGTGTCTAACAACATCTAGCATACATCTTGCCCCGTTACCGAAACCAATGTAAACATTTCGGTGATTTGCATTATAAAATTAGCGGAAAATGCGGTGACAGATTAAATATAATTTCGCAGCATACCAAAGAAAAACCAAGGAGATACTGACGTAAAATATTGGTAAGGTACTATAAATGTTAGTGTAGAATACTTGATGATTCTACCGGAAAAAAGGTAATACAACAATTACTTTATTTTGTGTTTTTGTTTAAATATAGATGCGTTCTTTTGACCAAATTTGCTTGCATTATCTTGGTGGGTAACACAGATATTTCTTAACTTACAGATGGCCAAAATCCTGCCAACTGATGAAAATTTCCTGCTTTTGTTCCACCGGGATAACCCACTTGAGTCGAGCGTGGAGTTTATGAAGGTATGGCAACGTATCATATATTTAGCACCATAAAATATTTACCTACTTCCGAATACAAAGGTCTGTCTCTTTCTGAGGTAGTTGTTAAACGCGGAAAAGTGATTAGTCATGTATAAAACGATGCAGTCATTTTCGTTATAACACCAATTTTAGCTTAAATCATCGTTTCAAACAAACTATTTGCGTGCTTATGTGAAATATCTTACGCATTACCACTGGTTATTTGCCTTGTTTTTTCTCATATATATTAAATTTACTGAAAAATGCCATCACTATCAAAGTTATGTATTAATGGCACGGTAATCTTCCCTGATAGTCAGCGTTGCTGATCATGAATAGCTAAACTAAAACATTATAGCCCACAATTAATGCACTAAATCCTGGACATAACAGTATTGACTTATTCAGCATGCCCATCCTATTCACGCAACATCTTTGTTTGACAAGCATCTCCATTTCCAGAATTATATTATGCGACGTTGCTACCCAATCACATGCACGCTTCGGTTTCTCCCAGCTGGGTGTGGCTCAAGTCTATTATAATCATCCCTGAGGGGTTGTTTCTTCTCCATGCTAGGCAATTTTCTTGCAAACGTTTCTTTGCTAAGCTGAGAGATAACCACAGTGCGGCTATTAGGGTCTGATACCCAGGATTACTTAAGTCACTGCCAAGTCCAAGGGACTTTTTATCTTCAATTGCCTTGAAGGTTACTCCTCCATTGGTTAAAGTGGGTCGGCCAAGTGGTCACCTATGCGCTCTGTCAACCTGGTAATTAGCGCTTATTTCATCTGAAGCGCTTCATGGACATTGTTATATTCGAACTGCGTAATGTTTCTGCCCTGGCCCAAATGTCAGTCGACGGAAAAATCGCAAATTTTTTCACAAACAAATATCATTTGTACAAAGAGTGCTCTATTTCCTTTCTTAAGTAGCATAAACGCTTTAAACCTTTAATTTCCCACTGTCCTTTTTGTTGTAGGAGTAGTGTCAAACTTGATAAAACATGGATTCCTGTTTAAAACACTCTGTTCAGAAATAATAGCATCCTGTCCATTTTGCGGATGTTTTTTGCAAACCAATAACCACTTGAGGTAGAAAGCACGCCATTTTGTTCAAATGCATTGTGATCGACCGGTTGTGGATGACAAAAGTGTAGAATGACCAACATTTATGATTGACACGAACTGCGATCCGTATCATTAGAGTCATCCGGGAACACTTTTGTATTTCGAGACTGTCCATTTGGGCCATTTAGGCAGCTGACTCTGAAAACGTGTGGGATATTATAAGCGACTTATGCGAAAAGCAAAGACGAGAGTGAAAGGTCCGTGGACAAGAGCAATTGCTTGTTTGGATGAAAGAATCGGTTGAGTAGTATAAAATGAAAGAAATTGTAATACAACTGCCTAGTAGCTTACAGTGGCGTTAAGTCCATGCTTAGATGTGCCAATGCATTGACATAAAAAGAGCTCGCTGTACTATTTTAAAATGGATACAGCGAACTACAAATCTGTAACCTCAAAATTGAACAATGTTAAGCGTATTATAGGAATTAACTAATAATTGTATTGCGTGTAGACAGGTTTTAGCTGTGTTGGTTTGAACAGAATAGTTAAGAATTAAATTTTACCTCTTCATAACCAAGATACGTTTGATAGTTTTTACGGTCAAGTAGGTAAATATTAACTTGTACTTTTCATACTTTACATAAGTTTGCCCGATTTGAAATGTTAAGTACCAATAATAGTTAACCATATACGTAGTAGGTGCATTGAGAGACATAAGTCATTACTGGATCAAGGGTTTAAAGCAACCAACCCTAACGTAATCTGCCCCACTTGTAGACCTAAATATGGTGGGTGTTTCTCTTTCGCACATTCTAAAAGATAGGTAGCGAAGGTGAGGGGTTTTGCAACATTCTCCATACACCCTTGATGCTAATTTTCAAAAAGGCAGTTAAATAAACCTTATATCCTACCATGTCAAATCAACACAAACAATGATAGCTAATGCAGCATTCTCGCTGATAACGCACCCAACACAACTTTGGTGATGGTTTTATTTTAAGTTCCAGACGTCAAATAAGAACGCGGCTGTCTCCAACGTTAATTTTCAACATTTAAAAAATTACCAAAATTTGTCTTCACTATAAACCGGGTTTTAAATTTAAGCAAGGAGTTTGTTCTTTCAGTATGTCGTAGTAGACAAAGTTTTATAAAAGGCAGAAGCTTATACGTCTCATATTGCTTTGGAACTCCGTCTTCTTTACTACTTCATCTTTCCTTTACTTCAGGTGTGGAAATGTTTTGATAAAGACCGAAGCGGATTTATCGAGGCTGATGAATTGAAGGTAAGCGGCATCTAGAATTTACAATCTGTGCTACTAAGGAGACATCGTTGTAGAATTCGATTATAAATGCAATTTGTTAGCCTGACTCAGAATTTTACTATGCATCGTTTGAAGTAGAAACGCTTTTTCTCATTAACATACCATATGGAATTTAATATCTATAACTTGTAAATGGTGCAAACAACGCAACATTATTTCGAATGCACGATAATGTGAAATACTGCAGCGAATTTGTATTTTCAATATTTTTCAGAGACTTTTCTTAGAGCACATCCCAAGTAATCCCGAAAGTTACCGTTTATCTTAACCACAAAACTGTATTCGCATAAATTTATTTGTCATTCTAACTGTAGCTTATGAAAATAATTCGATTTCACAGGTTTTTCTTTACATGATAATACTGAAATGCCTATAACAATTCTTAACTCGAGTGTTATCGTTCAATTTGCGGGTTGGTTTCCCTAATTTATTACTTTTGCATGTCCATATTTCTGTTTTATTTTCATCCATTTCAGTTTTATTCTTGATGCTTAATCACCCCAAGTAGCATCGGAGCTTGATCGATTAAAAGCTACTTATCAGTGACGTTTATAAATTTGAATTGCGTGCTGAGATACTTTACCATGTGGGCCTCTTCGATATCCCCATTGAACCGATTGGCTTAACCAAAGTAGCGCCCCATTGGGCTACTCACTGTTGTTGTGTCGATCTTAATTTCCTCACATGTTAACACGTTTTCTAGAAGTGCCGATTAATCTCCCGTTCTGAATACCATAATGGGAAATGACATGATTATGCATTGGTAGACCAGCGACTGGTTCTCTCAGTTCGGCCTTAAATTACTTACTAATAGGGGCCGGATACTCTAGAACTTGGCAAGCAGTAGTCTCCCACATGGGGAATGCGAGTGTTGAGTTGAGACAGTTAGGTTTTTTAGCAGCAGCAAAATGTCTGTGCATTTCTGAAGTGGATATAAGTTGACGCTATAGGGATGAATATCCTTGTGCCCCTACGTCTGATTTATAAACAGCGTCTTAGTGATTCCGCACTTTAATTACCTGGGTCGCCAAATATTTACGGATGAGGTTCACTGTGACCACACCTACGTGGTCAATCATTAGGTAGGATGGGCATGCCTTTTAGCATGATCACGGCGTCAGTGATTTCATCGTTAAGGTATTTTTTGATTATCATTATCAGTTCGATATACATAAAAGCTTGACGGGATAAAAGCTCCAAATAATTAGTTAAATCAACCCTAATCATTGGTATGCACAATGTGGTGGTTTTAAAGTTAAAACATATATAGCATATTGTTTGCACTAGATGCAGGAACACTGGAACATACTAACTTGAGTGTATGTCGCATCGAATATCAGCTGAAGTAAAAGCAAAAAGGGCGTATCGATCACAGGGGAAACAATTGCAATCAAGCTTGAACTAGAAGAAAGTTTAACGGTGTTATGATCATAGTTCGGTCGGTTGTCTTTATGCGCATTGCTCAATGGCGATTGTTTTAGTTAGGATTGCATCCCACCGTATCTTCAGTCAAAACATATACGTCGATTTGTTGCAAAATTATGAATATCTGTCTCAAAGTTTAGGTAAATCGTATTTGCATTGCATTACGAGAATTACTGAAATGTAGTAAATTTTGCAACTGTAAGTTTTACGCTTAAAACTGCATAATCTATACTAAAAGCGAAAACAGCTAGAAAAGATCAAAGTAGTAGCGTTCGCACAATATTTTGTACACTCAATGCAGTGATTCAAATATTTGACACGCGATAACCCCGTCATACGTATGCATAATGTGACAGATGAACCCCTTAAATTAACTGAATGTTCTCTGAGGGTGAAGAAACCTACCAATTTGGAAAGAAAATTGATGAGAAAACAAACGTTACGTGAGCCACTTCTGGTTTCCAAGCTAGAGCGTGACAAATATTATCTGTCTCGGTGGGATAGCGGGCGTCAACATCAATATTCACACATGCAAATTCCAGGAAAAATTGAAAAAATAAAATCAGTTATACCTGAACTAAAGCAGCGCATGCTGGTACAGAAAACCTCCACATAAAAGTTTTAAGAATTTCTGAGGGTTCGCAGGATTATGATCAAGCTTCGATGAATTTGAGTGCGCTCGTGGCGGTTCCTTTTGCGGCCGGAGCTTATACGCCACCAACTATTGCAGGCTTATGAATCAACTTGACAAACTGTAAACCTTTATTTGCTTTTTGAAACCGGAGGTAAATTGATGGGTTTAAGCCGTGCTGAAAAGAGTGATAGCCACAAATGAAGCTTAGCAAATGGACTATTCAGGTTTCCTCTGCGACACACTGCTAAATAAACTGGGCGGCTGGATTCTGTGCATTTGATACACCTTGCGTAGGAGACTCGTAAGCATTCGCTTAATATGTAGTTGGCATTAAGGAGCAACGTTAGTACTTAACCCACATGATACCTGATGAACTGTTTGTTGGTGCAGTCTAGCTCATTGCGCAAACCAGCAGATTGGACTGGTGACACATGCCCGAAACCACTTGCGTCAGTCCCACTTTCTGCTCAAGAGTGATTCCAACGTATATTGATACTATGGTGTGAGGGACAAATTACCCCCGTGTTTGTGAAAATGGGTTTATGGATGTGACATTTACGACTAAACATTAAAACACCTTTGTTAGGTAACGCGCATTATAAGGTTTTCAGGTGTTCTCTGTGTGGTCGTGATCTTAGTCAGCTGAGAAATGTTTATGCAATGAGTTTAGATCAAGAAGTAACGGGTGACTAGTGATTACTAGACGATACTAGTCAGCCTAGAACTGCCATTACCATAGTCACGTTCAGAGATGACATCTTAGAGAGTCCACAATTTGAAGTCGTTTGGCCTTATGTAAACTCCGTTGTTAACTTGATTGATTGACTTGATTCGTAACAGTCAATAATAGAACGTAAGACACGCAAAATTACCTTGGTTCGAAAAAGAATAATGTTATGTGGCTTGAAAACAGCGGTAACTATCTCAGTGTTGATGAAGAGTACAGTAGGCGGGGGAAGCCAGACAATAGCCGATTTTAACTGCGGAAGACAGATGCATAAAGCTACCATCGCTTACACGTTGCTGCACTTGCTGGCTTACTTAACTTGTTGCTGTTATGTAGCTAGGGTCGATAGCATTTAAGTTATTGCTCTGGTACAGTGTCGTCATCGGTGGGATTCTTCACCTCCCTGGTTGCAAATGAATAAACATCTATGCCAAAGTAGCCTGTAAAGACACTACATGATCCAACAAATTGGATCACGTTGGAATATCTGCGTAAACCAATAAAAGCTTTAATGGCAGTCATCTCGCCTTCTTTGATTGATGACTTCTACATATGTCTACCAGGAGTTGCAAAACTGCTGTCCTGAATTGCTTAGTTGTAAAGCCCATCACAGAAAAGGGGACTCACACAATATGGACAAATACCAACTGAATTATTTGATCCCTGTCAGTCTAAGCTATCTGAGAAAATAGTCAAACTTGGTGTACAGCAGTTTCAGGTGGAATGCAATGTTGAAGGCAACACAGCATGTTATCATGCAAGATTAATCATATACGACCAACTTGATGGAGATGAAGCATGTGTGGTTACAAGCGTTGAAATGTGGGCAGTAGTATGAAGGGATCTATATTGCGTTCGGTACAGCGTTTTATTAGCTAAAGCCTTAGCTCCTTCTGCGCAAACTAATAACGGTGGCGCCTCATCTCATTAGAGGATCAGCGACTTATTTGTCAGGCGAAAGTGGAGGGTACAAGTGTATGAACATACAATCGACTGACACTCATCTACTAGTAGCGTACCACAAGTCACCAGTAAGGAGGCGTATTTGTTATTGCTTTACATCAGCGAAATTCCTCAAATTCCGCGACCATCATGTGCTTTGATTACCAATGATATGATTAGTTGGCGATTAGTTGATACTCTCAAGGAATATGATGAACTTCCACACCACATGTATTGCCGTCTATGTAGTCTCTAATCAAACGCTATCGTGAGCTATGTGAAGGGTGATGATGGGCATGCCCCGTGCTGCAATCCTCACATTTCTTGAACGAATAAAGCATACGCCCACGCTGTGATTTAACGTACGTGTTTAACATAAGCACTTTCAACGAGACAAACTAAACAAGTGATCAAATGCAACTGCTATTCTTTCCAACCATCACAATTTATGCTACAGTACGACCCAACTGCCTATTGTCCTATCAAATCGAGTCAAATCCCAAACTATGGGCACATTGAGCATGTAGCTGCCTGGCTTACGGCCATGATACGGCGAATGATGTACGTAAGATGTTGAAGACTGAATCCCTTCATCTTATCATACTGGATGCCTTAGGTGGACATCCTAACGACTCATCGTGTATAACAAATATGTGACTTCGCTATGTTAACAGTACGGCTTCACATGAGATCACTATGAAATACAGTGATTTGGAGCGAAACTTTGGCCTCTGTGCTTCAAAGATTCGTTTGCGATATGTCGAAACATACGCAGGGACAAAATCGGAAACAAAATTAGGGTCAAAATTGGATGCATTTAGAACAAAATTGCATTGTATATCCTGATTGAACGCATTATACCTTCATACGACGGAATATAGCGGATTTCTGCTGAAATTGCAGCACCATAAATAAATTTATACCGTACAACCGAGATTATTTTAATTCAGTGAAAGACACCTTAGAGCTATCTGCTTTGTATATACAAATTTCAGGCAATCAGTATATATGTATAATCCACTGTCAAGATGTAAATATAGAGCAGCTACTGAGTTTAAGTTGATGACTATGAGTAGCTTGACCTAGGAATTAATATAGCATTGCCATGTAAATCACTTTATCAGTATTTCGACAACCTGAAACAGAAGATAACTTTCTAACGTCTAGCCTAGTTTATAAATATGGAACCGCATTATGAGTCACTTGTTTATTTTCGTTAAATTAATCATGATG